TAGTTTGGGAGGAGCTCTTTCAGATATTATAACAACCCACAGTTCCATTAGATCAAGCACAATTGTACAATTGCTGCCACCATCAGTTTCAAAACATTTTCTTTCTTCTTGAACTCTTTGATGTCAGCTCCCCTTCACCTCTACCCCGCCCACAGGAACTCTTATTATTTTATTATGTATGATGATGATGATTTTGCCGTATCTGACAACAAAGGATGGATCTCTTTATTGACTTCGTTTAAAAAGTTCTCCGGAGTTCTTTTCCTTTGTCCTGTTTTCCTCCCTTCTTGCATCTCTGACCTGTGGGTTCTCTGGGGGAACTCAGGGGCCATCTAGTCAAGGTCAGCTGGCCCGGTGATAAGCTGGGAGATAACACAGAGTCTTCCCGTGAAGGGCTCAGACCCAGTGGCATGACTGCCAGCTATCCAGGCTGGGTGCCAGCTGAGTATTAGGGAGGAGCCACAGGAAGGGGACATGGTGAGCCATATGCCTGAGAACAGGCTCACTGGCAGTCGTCGGAGCCTCCCATGAGTCTCTACTTGCTTCTGGCCAGCGTGTCTTGTTTGGACCCTGGGCTGGTTTTCGTTTGCTGGACTCAACGCCACCTCATTTCCCAGGTATTTATGGAGCACCTGCGAGGTGAACGCACACTAAGCTAGTTTCGTCTGCCTGGATCACATCGGCATCTACTCTGCAGCTAGAGAGCAAGGAGGTCTTGTTGCTGTAACTGGATGGATGCGCTGGGGAGAGGCAGCTTCAAATCTGAGCCCCGCCCCTAACTAGCCTCCTCTGATTCCCTTAACCCTAAGAAGGGATAAATTAGTCCCTGCTTCAGAGAAGTTGTGAGCTCATAGATTTGTGAGAATAACAGGCAATAAAGCGCAGAATGACTTAGCCTCATGCCCTGCATTCACTGAAGGCTCAGTAAATGTTAGTTACGATGATGATGATGGTGGTGGTGATGATGATGATGATGATGATCGTGATGAAATTAGCAATTAGTACTGCTGTCATGACTGTCAAGGAAGAGCTTGGGTGTGTGGGGGGGGAAGCACATGCTCTTTATTGGAGGTTGCATTGACATCACCTGTGGGTGGCCTCAGCCCTGTGTGGCTGGGCTCTGTGTTCAGTGGCTGATCCAAACACGACCAATTCGACAATCAGAGGAGCAGCAAGCCCTGGATTGCTGGTATTGGTAGGTGCTCTTCTTCAAGGCCAAGATCAAATATCTTCTCCTTGGTAATGCCTTCCTTGCCTGGCCAA